GGTGTTCTTTGGATGCAACTCAGCATTCTCTCTCCTCCAAACACAACGAGTTGTGTTTCTACCAAAACAGTTCTATTTTGGCTTCATCTGACCATATGACATTCTCCCAATCCTCTTCTGGATCATCCAAATGCTCTTTAGCAAACTTCAGACGGGCCCGGACATGTACTGGCTTAAGCAGGGGGACACGTCTGGCACTGCAGGATCTGAGTCCCTGGCGTCGTAGTGTGTTACTGATGGCAGCCTTTGTTACGTTGGTCCCAGCTCTCTGCAGGTCATTCACTAGGTCCCCCCCGTGCGGTCCTGGGATTTTTGCTCACCCTTCTTGTGATCATTTTGACCCCACGGGGTGAGATCTTGCGTGGAGCCCAGATCGAAGGGAGATTATCAGTGGTCTTGTATGTCTTCCATTTTCTAATTATTTGATTTGTTCACACCAAGCTGCTTGCCTATTGCAGATTCAGTCTTCCCAGCCTGGTGCAGGTCTACAATTTTGTTTCTGGTGTCCTTCAACAGCTCTTTGGTCTTCACCATAGTGGAGTTTGGAGTGTGACTGTTTGAGGTTGTGGACAGGTGTCTTTTATACTGATAACAAGTTCAAACAGGTGCCATTGATACAGGTAATGAGTGCAGGACAGAGGAGCCTCTTAAAGAAGAAGGTACAGGTCTGTGAGAACCAGAAATCTTGCTTGTTTGTAGGTGACCAAATGCTTATTTTCCACCATAATTTGCAAATACATTCTTTCCAAATCAGCCAATGTGATTGTCTGGATTTTGTTTCTCATTTTGTCTCTCATAGTTGAGGTCTACCTATGATGCCAATTACAGGCCTCTCATCTTGTCTGGAGAACATTTTGTCTCACAATTGGTCTACCTGACTAAATTACAGGCCTCTTTTTTTGCCCCAAGTGGGGAGAATTGCACAATTGGTTATGATAAATATTTTTTACTGTGTATATATATGATATATATATATATATATATATATATATATATATATATATATATATACATACATACACACACATACACTGTTCAAAAAAATTAAAGGAACTCTTTGAAAACACATCAGATCTCAATGGGGAAAAATCTCATGCTGGATATCTATACTGATATGGACTGGGTAATGTGTTAGGGATGTAAGGTTGCCCTATCATTTGATGTAAATGAAAATTATCAACCTATAGAGGACTAAATTCAAAGACACGCTCGAAAATTAAAGTGAAAAAATGATGCAGCAGGCTAGTCCATTTAGCTGAAATTTTGTTGCAGCAACTCAAAATGGTACTTGGTAGTATGTATGGCCCCCTCGTGCTTGTATACATGCCTGACAATGTTGGGACATGCTGCTAATGAGACAACGGATGGTGTCCTGGGGTATTTCCTTCCAGATCTGGACCAGGGCATCACTCACCTCCTGGACAGTATGAGGTGCAACCTGGCGGCGTTGGTTGGACTGAAATATGATATCCCAGAGGTGTTCTATTGGATTTAGGTCAGGCAGGCATGAGGGACATTCAATGGTATCAGTTCCTTCATCCTCCAGGAACTGCCTGCATACTCTCGCCACATGAGACCGGCCATTGTTGTGCACCAGAAGGAACACAGGACCCACTGCACCAGTGTAGGTTCTAACAATGAGTCCAAGGAATTCATCCCGATACCTAATTGCAGTCAGGGTGCCATTGTCTAGCCTGTAGAGATCTGTGCGTCCCTCCATGGATATGCCTCCTCAGACCATCACTGACCCACCACCAAAACGATCATGTTGAACAATGTTACAGGCAGCATAACGTTCTTCACGGCTTCTCCAGACCCTTTCATGTCTGTCACATGTGCTCAGGGTGAACCTGCTCTCATCTGTGAAAAGCACAGGGCGCCAGTGGCGGACACATCAATTCTGGTGTTCAATGGCAAATGCCTCTATGGTGCCAGGCAGTGAGCACAGGGCCCACTAGAGGATGTCGGGCCCTCAGTCCACACTCATGAAGTCTGTTTCTGATTGGTTAGAGACATTCACACAAGTGGCCTTCTGGAGGTCATTTTGTAGGGCTCTGGCAGTGCTCATCCTGTTCCTCCTTGCACAAGAGAGCAGATAGGTCCTTCTGATGGGTTAAGGACTTTATATGGCCTTCCCTGTCTCCTGGAATCTCCTTTATGCTCTTGAGACTGTGCTGGGAGACACAGCAAACCTTCTGGCAATGACACATATTGATGTGCCATCCTGGAGGATTTGGACTGCCTGTGCAACCTCTGTAGGGTCCAGGTATTGCTTCATGCTACCTGTAGTGACACTGACCCTAGCCAAATGCAAAACTAGTGAAAAACAGTCAGAAAAGATGAGTAGGGAAAGAAATGTCAGTGGCCACCACCTGTAAAACCATTCCTGTTTTGGGGTTTGTCTCATTGTTGCCCATCTAACACCAAAGCAGCTGAAACTGATTAACAACTCCCTCTGCTACTTAACTGACCAGATCAATATCCCAGGAGTTTAATTGACTTGCTATACTCTGATTAAAAAGTGTTCCTTTAATTTTTTTGAGCAGTGTATACTGTACATATATATATATGTGACATTAAAAACATGACTGATCATGCCAAAAAACTGTTGTTTATTTAACGATAGTAATCATATGAAGCCATTTATTATCACATAGTTGTTTGGCTCCTTTTTAAATCATAATGATAACAGAAATCACCCAAATGGTCATGATCAAAAGTTTACATACCCGGGAATGTTTGGCCTTGGTACAGACACAAAAGGTGACACACACGGGTTAAAATAGCAAATATAGTTAATTTCCCACATCTTTGGCTTTCTAAATTGCAATTAGTGTCTGTGTATAAATACTCAATGAGTTTGATAGCTCATACATGGATGCACTGAGCAGGCTAGATACTGAGCCTCGGGGAGCAGAAAAGAACTGTCAAAAGACCTGCATAACAAGGTAATGAAACTTTATAAAGATGGAAAAGAATATAAAAAGATTTCCAAAGCCTTGAATATGCCAGTCAATTCTGTTAAATCACTTATTAAGAAGCAGAAAACTCAAGGATCTCTTGATACCAAGTCAAAGTCAGGTAGACCAAGAAAGATTACAGCCACAACTGCCAAAAGAATTGTTCAGGATACAAAGAAAAACCCACAGGAAATACAAGCTACTTTGGAAAAAGACAGTGTGGTTGTTTTGAAGGAGCACAATATGATGATACTTACTGCACCAATGCCAATAAAAAGCTACAATATGCCCGACAACATATATTATAATATTATATATTAATATACTGTATGTTAAAAGTCCTTATTTTTTGTGATCTATCTGATTTATCTGTTAACTATTTGAATGGTTTGCCACACGTTTCCCTTCAGTAGTAGTATTCTGGTGTCTGCTAACGTAGCAAGTAAATGAATTGTAGTAGTAGCGTGACTTCAGGATACAAACAACCAACAACCGCAGAATAAATTTGGAATGAGCAAGTGAGCCACATGTATTTTCTGTCTCCTCTTTAAATATAGGTTAGTCACACTTTGCTCATGCCATCTTTGTTCAGTTTTGTGTCTGTTCTGACACTCACTTTCTCTGTTTATTATCCTATATGTTAGCAATGGTAATTCTCTAATACAAATTGAAGCACTTTTCCATGTGGCCTGCACTGCCACTATAAAGAAAGTAATTATCTGTATAATGTGATCCATTTCTGTTTAATACATTAAACTCGGAATGAGCAAGTTAGCCACGTGTGTGTTTTCTGTCTCCCCAGTTACTGCAGGCTGCATCTTTGCCATACCTCGCACACAGATCTCCAGTAATCCTGTCACACTAGTTTGCTATATGCATAGAACTATATGCATTTCAACTCACACCAATAACTTTTCCTAATTAGTTTTTTGCAAATAAGCAAATTAACCTGTTAAGGATATATAAGATACATTATGCACTAGGTACCATTTTTTTTTCTTTTCTGCAGCTTTAGGACAACTCCCACTGACATGCAGAATGGGATATCCTAAAACTTTAAAAGTCACTTATAAATATCAGTACTAATTTACTACTGGTGTTTATGAAACAATATCATGATCAGTGAGGTTACTTTTAAACTCTAAGGAATAAAGAAGCCATTCTTCTCTGCCAGAACCAGGGAGGGCTATGATGCTTTAAAGGAGAATTGTAGGAATAAAAAAAAAAAATACTTTACATACTCACCTGTATTGCTGCAACATCACTGTGATGCTGCAGCTGTTCCTCACTGGTGCTAAGCCTGGGAACTGAGCAATTGTATTTCCTTGAATCTCACTTCTTATTTTTATTCTTGCCTGTATCTTCAATGGGGCGTTTCCCTTTACTTCTTGTTGTAAAAAAGCAATAAGAAGTGCACAGAAATGCCCTTTTAGACACTTGTCACCAGAACAGGTGTCTGCCCTGGAATATTTTCCCACTATTCCCATTTTGATGACAACCATAACATCATCATGGCGACATTGGTTCATCAGGACTACCTAAGAGAGTGGGTTAGCTTAACCACTTGTTTACCGCACTGTAGCCGAATGACGGCTACAGCGTGGTTATCCAGTTCTGGGAGGGCGTCATATGGTGTCCTCCCAGAATGCACCCCAGCTCTGCATGATCTCTGTGTCCTACGGACACAGCTGATCAAACATGATGAGGTAAAAGGCCAACACAGCAGATCACAGAGTAAATACAGTTGCCAGTTATCAGCAACACTTTCCTCACACTGTCACAGCATGAGGAAAGTACTGCTGATAACCAGCAGCTGTCACAGAGCAGATCGGCACTGATCATCAGAGCCGGCCAGCAGTGCCACCCACCAGTGCCCAGCAATGCCACCCATCAGTGCTGCCCAGCAGTTGCGCCCATCAGTGCCACCCATCAGTGCCCAGCAGTGCTGCCAATCAGAGCCATCAGTCAGTGTTGCCAGTCAGTGCTGCCAGTCAGCACCACCCATCAGTATCGCCCATCAGTGCTGCCTATCAGTCCCACCTATCAGTGCCTACCATTGTTGAATATCAGTGCAGCATCATAAGTGCCTACTCATCAATGCCCACCAGTGCCACCTCATCAGTGCCACCTCATCAGTGCAGCCTATCCGTGCCACCTCATCATTGCCTATCAGAGCCCATCAGTGCTGCCTATCTGTGCAGCCTCATTAACTCAAAACAGTGAATGAGAAAAATTACCTGTTTGCAAAATTTTGTAATAGAAACAAAGAAAAACTTTTTTTTGTATTCTTTTGCTATTTTTTGGTTTATAGTGCAAAAAATAAAACACACAGTGCTGATTAAATACCACCAAAAGAAAGCTCTATGTGTGTGTGAAAATAATGATAAAAATGTCATATTGTTACTGTGTTGCATGATCGCGCAATTGTCATTCAAAGTGCAACAGCACTGAAAGCTGAAAACTGACCTGGGCACAAAGTGGGTATAAGTGCCCAGTAGGTAAGTGGTAAAGTGTTACTAAACCCACAACAGTAAAATCAGTCTGTATATACAGTAAAGCATGCTTGTTATACTCACTATGGAACCTAAGGGGTTAATCATCCGTATTGTGTAAAAAAGCTGTTTGATTCTGACTTTTCTGATCATCCCCTTTTTTCAGTGTCCCCCTCTTATCTCTTGATAAGAAATATGGTGTGGAAACACTCTGCACAAGCTCAGTGTGTTGTGTATTGCTAGAGATTTTTTTTTCTTGGGAGAGCACATGTGATCAGCGCAGGGCCAATCAGCACTGTCCAGACAGAGGTCAGGGGTTTTGCATCCTCCTAGAGCAGAATGAAAACTCCTCCTACAAGCTGTAACCAGTGCTCTGCTGGACACTGATAGAAGTCACAAGACTGCTCTAACAGCTGATGAGAAAAGATATTTAGATATTTACTAACATAATTGCACTTCCATGTTCTTTTTTTTTTTCCATGTTCTATGTACTGTGGGAGACCAGCAATCCAATGCAGAAATGAACAAAATAAAACCACGACAAGGTTGTGCCTGCAATAGCACTTCCATGTTCTATGTAACTGTGGGAGACCAGATAATGCGGGGTCCTGGGTTTAGTAACACTTTAATGAGGACACATACAGCAATACAAACTTGACAGAGGTTAACTCTTCCCCAATCTATCAAAAAAAGAAAAAGAAAAAATGTTGAATGACATTCTACTTTAATACTGCAACTAGTCACTGAGAAACTGTCTGTGTTGTCAACATGAGGTCAGGCAGCAGACTGAGCATAATCTTCAGACTTCAGAGGACACTTCTGACACAAAAGTGAAGCTAAACCCTGTCACCAGACCATTTATTTGAACAAAAATCTTCCAATAAGATTTTATGTGCATATAAAGTATTTTATTTGTGTTATTTACTTGTAAATGCTTCCCTTCCTGTTAGGTAACTGATTCCTCATGAAGCAGTTACATTTTCTAGCAAGTTCAAAGGCACATCGCAAGTTAATAAAAAAATATTTATCTAAAAGGGAAACTCTGCAATTAAAGTGATTGTAAACCCTCATCTTGTAAAACAACCTATGCTGTCCTACTAACGGTTAGCTGACAGCTAGCTAACAAAGCTGACAGAAGCAGCGTTGTGTTTCATTCCAAAAACTTAATTTACTTCTCTGAATAGTTCTGTAAAACTGCAATACAATCACATAAAATAAAATTACAATATGCTTGTATACATGGGGCGGACTGGCAACTCTTGGGGCCCCCGGGCAATAGGGGATCATGGGGCCCCTGTGTCCTTGCCCAAACTCACAAAAAGCGTATGAAATGGTACCAGGGGCATCTCATGGGGCCCCCTAATGACCCCACGCCCTCGGGCAGTGCCTGAGTTTCCAAATGGTCAGTCCACTCCTGCATGTATACATGTCTCTTATAAATGCAGACAATGGACACATTTCTTACAAACACCTACCTACAAATCACATTAAATGTATTAAAATGCAATCTAGATGTACTGTATATATAACTTTGACAAACACAATGAAAGAACTTACGGGCATACGTGTATCAAAGAGAGGAAGGAGACCTTCATTGGTGTGGTCTTCTGGAAGCTAGACTAGAACTGCAGTAGTAGATGGGAAATCTTTATTTTTAAAAAGCATGAGACACTCCCTGTTCCTTATTGACAAAAGGTACAAAAGAGTGCAATTGCAGTTAATTCCCAAGAGATGGCTCCTTGTTCAACACAATAATGTGAATACAGAACACAACCCATCAGTTTTAAAATAGCAATGAAAGGTAAAACAATTTTGTATAGATATGAAAACACATTTTTTCCTTTTTTTTAATAACTGATTACATACCCTCTGTTTCAGCTGCATAGGAACTGGGAAAGGGGAAATAGCAGCACTCTGATCTTCCCAGTGAAAGGCTGTGCAGGGGAGAGGTGTCACGGCAAGTCTGATCATTGAAGCAGACCAGGCTGAGTTCCCAGCACAGTTAGAGAACTGACCACGCTGTGCTCTCCTGCTTACTGTGGTCAGTTTTTAATTGGAACGCAGAGGGACTGGCAAGAACACCAGGGATTTCAAACAAAGGAAGCAATACAAAGAAAACAGGATACTTTTTCATACAAGTACATGGTACAGCAGACACATATCAGGAGTTTCAAATGCCTGCTGACTCCCTCTGGAGGCTATAAAGCGTTAGCTGAGTTGGCAATAAAATCAGGAGAGAGTATACAGAGCAACTGTAACATAATACCTAGATTGTGGCTGTCTTAAATAGCCAAGCACCTGGCTACAAATGTCTAAATAAATATTCCAGCTTGAGCCAGAATAAAACAGTGGATCCCCCAGCAGTGATCAAAAAAAGGCTGCTATTACTCACCTGATCTCTGCTGCTGTCCCCCACAGACTCACCAGTCGAGTGATGCGGCACTGCTTCTCTTCAAGGTTGATTGGTCATGTGGGCATCATGTCAAGGCCTTGCCCCAGCCCTAAACTCACAGGACAATGTTGCAGAGAGCAGCACCATATTGTTAGGTTTTCAAAATTCTCCTTTCTAGACATAAATTTTAATATCTATTCCAAATTTTTTGTTAAACTTTAAACAGATTTTAAACTTTCATTTTAAATTCTGTAGCTTCAATACTTTTATTTTGTTTATATATATATATATATGTCCTATTATTGTGCTTTAGAAAAAACAATCATCCGAAATATCTTGAGAGTGACCCTTGGTCCTACTGTTGCAAATGGATTTTCCATGTAAAGTTAGTAGTCCATTATTTGTACAGTAAGCGTGGCTAATATGTACACTCCTGGGATTCGACTCGCCACAGCTGAACAACGCTGCTATGAAATTGTATTTTTTTCTTCTCTCTCACGATCTCTGCTGCTATGCTTACAAATCTATTTTACAGGTTTGTGTTTGGGTCACCGTATCAAAGAAGGATATTAAAGAGCGTGTGTTTCAGGTCTGTGTCCTGTGAATGTTATTTTTTCATTTCTGGATCTGCGTCTGGGCAGGAGATGTGGCAGGAATACGGTGGGTGAAATTAATACGACACGCAAACAACTGCTTTGCAGGCAACAAACAGAGAACAAAAGAAAACTAAAGAGGCCCCGAAACACAATTCTCTTTTTCTAGTCTCTCTGGAGGCTTTTTCATATGGAGAAGAATGGTTGACCATGAATAATTCACCTGCTGAGTATTCACATTAAACCCATTGTGTACCCATTCATCAAACAGGTGTTTGCTCATTTTCCCTCATATAAAAGCATTTCTTCATCAAGTTACACTAACATTTTTATTTGAACTCTCTAAACTTCCCACCATTATAACACCTTACTTCTACAAATGGACACCATGCAACACTCATTTTCCTGTTTTGTTTAAGGCAGTGTTTCTCAATTCCAGTCCTCATGGACCCCCAACAGGTCATGTTTTCAGGATTTCCATTATTTTGCACAGGTGATTTGATCAGTTTCACTGCCTTAGTAATTACCACAGCTGTTTCATCTGAGGGAAATCCTGAAAACATGACCTGTTGGGGGTCCATGAGGACTGGAGTTGAGAAACACTGGTTTAAGGCCAGATTTACAACTTTTGTTTGCAATAACGTGCAGTAAAATGTGCATTATACCGCACATTACTGCAAAGTATTTTAATGTTTGAACCACTCTGAGATGCCTTGTGGTGGCATTTATTTTGAATCAAACCCAAACGCTTTCCCCCTAATGCACTACAATGTACCTACATTTTAGCGCACCAAAGAACACAGATATGAACCATCTGTGCGATATGATGTGCTGGAAGTGAAAAAAAGTCTATCAAAAGGTGTGCATTGGTAGACTATTCAAAGTGAATGTACTGATGGCTGGAACACACTACAGTATTTCCCCTTACAAGATCACAAGCTTAATAATGGCATGCGATGCCAAGCTGCGGTTTCTAATGCGAGCAAAATCCTCTCTTGTATTAAAAGAGGTATAGACTCCAGAGAGAGATATCATATTACCCCTGTACAAATCATTAGTAACACCTCATCTGGAATATGCAGTTCAGTTTTGGGCACCAATTCACAAAAAGAACATTGGGGAACTGGAGAAAGTACAGAGAAGGGCAACCAAACTGATAAGAGGCATGGAGGAGATCAGCTATGAGGAAAGATTAGAGGAACTGAATGTATTCTCTCTTGAGAAGAGGAGATTAAGGGGGGATATGATCAACATGTATAAATACATCAGTGGTTCATATAGTGAACTCGGTGTAGAGTTATTCACCCTGAGGTCATCACAGAGGACAAGGGGGCACTCTTTACGTCTGGAGGAAAAGAAATGTAATCTCCAAACATGGAAATGTTTCCTCACAGTGAGCTGTGAAAATGTGGAATAGACTCCCTCAAGAGTTGGTTCTGGCCAGCTCGATGGATTGCTTCAAAAAAGGCCTGGATTCTTTCTTAGATACACAGAATATAACTGGATACTAACATTTATAGGTAAAGTTGATCAAGGGAATATCCAATTGCCTTTTGGGGGATCAGGAAGGAATTTTTTTCCCTGCAGGAACAGATTGGATCATGCTTTGCTGGTTTTTTTTTTTTTTGCCTTTTTGCCTTCCTCTGGAT